TCACTCGCCTTTGGGCGTGGTGGCGGAAACTCTGCGGGCCCGGTTCTGCGGCGGCGAAGCCGCCGTGCTGCTCAGAGCCGACATGAAGAGCATAATCTACCCAGCCTTTGCTGGCCTGGATGTCTGGGGCCCCGTGCGCACCGAGGCGCTGTGCACTCGCTGGGTGCAGAAGCTGGCCACTAGAGAGTGCGCGGACGAGTTGGTGGTGATGTCGGTCGCCTTGGAGTTCGGCATCCGCATCGCTGTCATCCCCTTCGCTCCACCAACGGCACTGGTGCAGTGGGCAATCACGTCCTATGGGCCAGAAAACGCCACCGTCGTTGTTCACGCGGGCAGCAATGATTTGCATTATGTTTATCTGTCGCGCGAATCGTGATGGCGCCGGACGCCTGCACCAGACTTTGCCTGCGTGTCGCAGCTCCGCCTCGTCTCGCTGCACGCGGCACGCGCGGACGCTGACAGGCGCTTGGCGCACCGCGCGGAGGAGAGCCAAGCCACGTTGCCGAGCAAGAAGTGAGTGCAGGGGTTACGGGCTGCGCCAGGCTTCGCCGGCGCTTCCGTATTCCCTGACCAGATGAGGCGCACTTTCGCTGGCTTTCCAGACGTTTGCCCTGTTTCGGCTAGTGGTGCCTTCGGATGTCGGCGCGAGCTCGAAAGAGGAAGGAAAACAATACGATGTTGCCCATTGCTGGGCCCCTTCCCCCCAAACTGGACCGAATGAGAGTTCGATTGTGAGACCGAATGTGAGGTCGATTGCGAGATCGATTGTGATATCGATAGTGAGATCGACTGTGAGATCGAAACTAAGATCGATTGTGAGATCGATAGTGAGACCGAATGTGAAACCGAATGTGAGATCGATAGTGAGATCGATAGTGAGATCGATAGTGAGATGGATAGTGAGACCGAATGTGAGACCGAATGTGAGATCGACTGTGAGATCGATTGTGAGATCTATAGTGAGATCGACAGTGAGACCAGATGTGAGACCGAATATGAGATCGATTGTGAGATCGATTGTGAGATCGATAGCGAGATCGATAGCGATATCGATAGTGATATCGATAGTGAGATCGGATGTGAGATCGAATGTGATATCGATAGCGAGATCGATTGAGTGAGACGTTGGTTCCCCCTCCCCCTCACCTCCTTATCACCCGCAGGGTGGTCGTATAGGTATAGGTGTATATAGATGCACACAAATATATACGTATATATACATATATATATATATATGCATACATGTCAATAGAAACACACAACACCAACAACAATAACATACAATCGTAACAACATCAACAACGAAAAGGCGGCCCGCGCGCGGCACTCGCGACGCCAGAATGCGCGGCCAATTGGTCCAAAGACCGAAACAGCGCAAACGAACGCAAATGCTTGCAATGCCAAGTGGGTGCGTGGTTGAAATGGAATTCCGCGGTGCGGGTTCTCGTTTTTGATGTTTGTTGTTGTTTGATGCTGGTGTTGTTTGTTGTCGTCGTCCCACCCGCAACCCGCCTCGCGACCCACCCGCGACCCGGCCCGCGACCCACCCACGGCCCACCCCGCGAACCCACCCGTGGCCCACCCGCGACCCACCCCGTGACCCACCCCGCGACCCACCCCGCGACCCACCGCGTGATCCACCCCGCGACCCACCCCGCGACCCGCGCACGGCTCACCCCGCGACCCACCCGCGATCCACTTGCGGCTCACCCCCCGCGACCCGCTCGCGACCCATCTTCGACGCAGACCGCGTTCAAGGTACAAACCACAATTTTCGGCGCCTGCGTTTTTTTTTTTTTTTTTTTTTTTTTTTTTTTTTTTTTTTTTTTTTTTTTTTTTTTTTTTTTTTTTTTTTTTTTTTTTTTTTTTTTTTTTTTTTTTTGTTGCATTCTTTCCAAGTGGAGAGCCCGCGATCCACCCCGTGACCAACTTGCGACAAACCCGCGACTCAAACCACATTCAGGGTGCAAACCACATTTTTGGGCGCCCGCGGCGGGCATCTTTTGCATTCGTTTCAGGCGGGAAGCCCGCGGCCCACCCGCGACCGCGTTCGGGGTGCAAACCGCCTTTTTTCGGCGCTTGCGGCGGGCATCTTTTGCATTCGTTCTGAGTGGAGAGCCCGCGGCCCACCCGCGACCCAAATCGCGTTCAGTCTACGAACCATGTTGTGGGGCGCCTGCGGCAGACAGAAGCCAGGCTCCTACGCGGCGCATCGGCGCGCAACAATTGCTTTGAGTTTTGCATTGGGGCGCTGAGGCAACGCGCGCCAAATGCGCGTGAGAACGCATGGGGGCGGACGCGCAAAATGCGCACCAAGGAAAACAAAAGACACGCCAAATGCGCGCCGACACGGGGCGCAGGAAGAGGGGGGGGGGGGGGGGGGGGGGGGCGAGGCCGAGGAAGGGGGGGGGGGGCAGGGGGGGGGGGCATTAGAGCCGCATATCTTCCGTGCAATCGCGCGCGCAACGAGCCCATTGTTGTTTGGGTCTCCCAGGCCTGCGGTTGCGTTCCCAGTTCCTGGGTTCGCGCGAATCTGGCATGCACGTTAGCATCCCAAGCAAGTTGTCAAAGGGCAAAGCGCATGCGCCATTGTACAGCTTGATTTGCGGATCAAGCAAAATTGCGCTCAGAGCGGGATGGGATATTTGTTTTCCAAGACTTCCGCGCTGGAACCCCCCGAGATGAACGAAGATGGGATGGGCGCGATTTTCTCCTCAGGCAGCGCGCGCGTGGGAACCGTCCAAACTACGTTTGTCGGATTGCAGCGACCATATGTATATATATATATATATATATATATATATATATATATATATATATATATATATATTCGAAGTTATAGAGAAGCTTTGGCAACACAATCGCATTATATAACTCGAGCTTCCTTTTCCTGGGTATGTTTGCATGCGACCGACACCTTTGCGTCGCTTTGAAAATTCCGTTCGCTCCCCCAACCCGTCTGGTAAGTTCTGCTTTTGCGGACGCGTCTACAGTGATTAGACTTCCGAGGTAAATTATCTGCTCCACTGTTTGGAGAGGGTTCCCAGCAGGCAACCCCTTCATGATAACAAAGTTCAGAAGTGATTGTAGTTTGTGCGAACTGCTGCTCGCCAATATTGCGTCGTCTGCGTGCAAGAGGTCCGTGGCCTCAATGAAAGGTGGTTCTTTGATAGTCGCCGTCAACTCTTCCATGTGTTTGTCGACGTCGAACAATGATAAATAAATGTGGGGGCAACGGGCAACCTTGAGCGATCCCAGCTTTTTGTCTTCTTGTTGTTAAATTGCCTGCTTCGTCTTTGAGGATGAAGAAGCGCTCAGGATATAGACGTGCTATAAAACTTACCATTCTTTCTGGAATTCCAAATCGGCGTAATGCGGCAATCAATTCGTCGTGTTTGAGTCTGTCAGAAGCTTTTGCCCAATCCAGAAAAAACTACCAAGCGACCAGATGAGGCAGAGGCGAAAGCCGCGTCGATCATTCGACGCAATATGGAAATAACTTGCGTTGTATTCTTGCCGGGTATGAAGCCAAATCGTGTTTTTCGCATTCGTGTTTCTGCTCCTGTAGTTCGCCGGGAGGCCGGCGTCGTTCTTTTCGTAGAGCAGCATTGCACGTGCTGTTTTACATTGTGCTGGGATGTCGTTTTGATCCCAACATTTTTGACATAATACTAATAAGTTGTTCAATGCCTCCCCGTTGTGCAGCGGGCACTTCCAGAATTCAGGAGGCATGTCATTAACCCCGGCAGCCTTCCCAACCGACATCTGTTTGAGCACGTCGGTCAGTTCTCCCATTGTGAAAGCGTCCATATTGATTTGAACTGTCTTTCCCATGTGTGATCCGGCTGAAGGTTTTGCGTTGGGGTTCGTGGTTTTCCATTGCGCATGCCCAAAATATCTGCCAATGCATTGCCGCGCTCTGTGCTTTCAACGAGTTCCCCATTCGAATATTTGATTTGTACTGGTTTCTTTGCGGGGCCTTTCCGAAGCCGTCGAACTGCCCGCGCATTCCCCCCAGCTGGGGGCGGGGGGGAGTCGCGACCCACCCGCGACCCAAACCACGTTCACTGAACAAACGAATGCTGCGTAAGCGCGGCGGCGGATTTGCGCATGCCGCCCGGGTCCGCAAGGACCTCTTCAAACCCCGCGAATCCGCGCGAGCCCGCCCAGCAGCTTTGCCCTGGCGAATTGCCTTGATCAGAGAAGTCGGGGAAGACAAAGTGGGGACAAATTGCGTTGCAGTTATCTTGGGAAAATAAGGGGGGGGGGGGGCAGGAGAAGTAAACGGGGGGCGAGGGGGGGGCGCGGAATAATAAAACATGCAAGGAGAATGTGGGGAAAAAAAAGGGGGGGCAGGGGGGCAGGGGGGGAGCGGGGAGGGGAAGGGGGAGGTCGAGGGGGGGGGGGGGGATGGCGATGATGATGATGATGATGATGGGCGACAATGGGAGGGCGATGATGGAGGCCGATGAGGGGGGGGGACGACAATGGGAGGACGATGATGAAATGACGAGGGGGGGAGAGGGAGGGCGAGGAAGAAGAGGGGGAGGGCGAGGTGGGGGAGGAGGAGGACGACGACGATGAGGACGAGGACGAAGAAGAGGAGGAGGAGGAGGAGGAGGAGAGCGCCATCGACAAGGAAGGTGGGGGCCGCGAGGTCCGCCGGCTCGACGGCGCCCGCGTCGCCCGCGCCCGCCCCCTCACTCTTATCCGCAATTGCGGGGGTCTTTCTACCTTTTGAACTGCGATGGACTACAGACAGAGCTCTGAATCACCTCTGGTCTTTCTCTCTTCTTAAACTCAACCTCTACAGCAAATCCGAAACTCACTTAAGTTCCAGGAAACCTCCGAAACAAGGCGCTGGCCCTAGATATCTGAACGCCCCTCCTCGGCCTTCGTCGCCGCGGCTGGGCGGAGGCGGAGGGCGAAAGTCCAAGACGGAACCAGCGCCTCGATCTTTTTTCATGAGACATGCGCCGGCAAACAGCCGGCGTCAACTATCACAGCACACGGTGCCTCGCGCTGCCGTCGAACTTCATCGTGAAACAAATCAGCTTCATCAGCCGCTCCATCGTGTCTTGGTCGAGGGCCTTCGTGAACAGGTCCGCCGGGTTCCAGTGCCCCTCGACCGTCTTCAGCAATAGCCTTTTCCTTTGAATACGTTCCTGCAGCCATAGAAATCGAACGTCCAAGTGTCGAGCAGCTCCCAGTCCCTGTCGGATTGCACTTCCTCTCGCGGCTGAGCTATCACTGAAAATGTACAGCTCCATCTCGTAGTCCACCTCAACTCCAAGGTCGGCCAAAAATGCCTGTGCTCCAACACCGTGGCAGGCTCCGCGCAATAATGCGTGGTACTCGGCCTCGCCACTGCTGAAACTCACCGTGGATTGGACCGAACTGCCATGTTTCAGCAAATGCGTCCCCCATAGAATGGCCATTCCACTTCGGGAACGCCTCGTAATCGGATCCCCCGCGTAGTCGCTGTCGCAGTAAACGCGCACCTTTCTGGGCAGCTTCTGAGCAGGAGACAGCGACCTTCCAGCGGGGTACTTCTTCAAGTAGCGGCCAATGCGCTTCAGATCCTCCATGTGGGTCTCCTTCGGTTCCTTCGCGTGTCTAGCCTGCATGCTCGCGCTGTAGCTGATGTCGGGCCGGTCCAGACTCAGGTGCATGATCCGCATGGTCACGCTGCGGTAGGTCTTCACCTTCTCGTCGTCCAGCTTCGGCGAGGTCTGGTTGCTACTCAGGATCTCCGCGACAGACCTCTTAACAGCCGGGGTAGTCACCTCCTTCGCATTCTCCAAGCCCAAGTCCCTGATCACCTTCTTCACGCGCCGGGTGTCCGCTTCGAGGTAGGCCGAACGCTCGAAGGGGTTTCAGATCAACGCCCGGTTGAGATAGACCGCGCTCTGTTCCTCCAGGGGCCTGCTGCTCAAAATACCCGTGACCTTAAAGTCGTAGTGCGAAAGCACGCCATCGAACCACCCCTCCTGGGACTTGCGCATAATCACGCCAAAGTCGTCACCGTGGACCTCCGCTTGTATATGGCGCTCGGCGTGGTACAGCTGCGCTGGGTTCGAGACGCCCTTCTTGGAGCCGTGCGAGCTCGTCAGGCCGATGTAGTCGTCTTGCCACACATGACTTGCATCTACTGTGCCGTGCATCGTCTTGAGTAGCCTGCCCACCATGGGTTCTGGATCGTCGTGGGTCTCCTCCTCGGGTAAATCCACATACACTTCGCGATTCACATCTCCATAAAAATCCGCCCTCGAGATGTCGTACAACTTGTAAATGATCTCCTCTGTGTCGCCGTCGTGGTGGGCGTCGTTCACGCGGCCGACGAAGATGGTCACCATCGCCTTGAACGCTTCCAGCGGTGGCGTGGCCGAGAATAGTTCAGCTTGATCTGGTCGATCTTCTGACCTCATAGCTTTCTTAATCTCCCTCGCGACCAGCCTCGAACGATACCGTGGTTGAGTTCGGTCGCCCTTGTTCGTGTCGATCCATTTCAAGGTGACTGCCTTCTTGCCGTTCTCGAGCATCTCGCGTCTAGGTGCCCTCTTCCATGCCTGCCTCCCGCGGCACCAATCCAAGTTCTTCTTGCCTCGCGGCTCGCACACCCTCGGAGTCCAAAATTTCACCCGTGAGATCGTCGATGAAGTAGTCGTCCTGGTACTCAGCGAACACCTCAGTATCTTCTTCATGTGGGTGTGGTCCTCCGCAAAGAGCTGCAAGTAGGTTAAGCCCTTCTCGTCGTCGAAGCTCCTCTCGTAAGCCTTCGAGAATAGCTGCCACCAAGCTCGGAGGGTATAGTTGTGCATGTTTGGCGCGTCCGTCAACCAGATGAACATGGCGAGCGAGTTCTCCGTTCGGACCCCTGGGGCACCGGCAGTTGTCCTTGAGGATCTCGGCGAGGAGCTCGCTGTTAGTGAGCCACCCGGTCTCCTTCCGAACGAAGCCCAACTTTCCGTTGGAGTCGGTCGCCTGCATGTGCCAGCGGCACATGTGTCCATGGACTAAGAATACGCCTGCCAACTGTATGACCTCCTGAACGCTTGGGCGGTGCCAGCTACTCGCTGACCAAGGTGCTTCGTGAAGACATAGCTTCCCTGCCTTGTAGCGCTCCTTGCAGATCTCCATGCTGAAATTGAGGTGCGTCTCGCCTTCCAGGATCTCCGCCCCCGCGATCTTCGGGTCTCGCTTTGAGTCCGAGGGCGTCCGCAAGTTGCTGAATGGCGTGCGCGGGGGGCTGGTGATCGTCAGTAGCGGGTCTTCGTCCTTCAGCTGCTTCTTGCACTCCTTTCGTTGCTCGGGCAATCGCAGACCCCAACCAATCTCGATATCCACTGCCAGGCCGCGCGTGAGGCCGTACCTGATCGTCGTCTCTGCAAACCTTCTCGGCGAATAAACCTCCGCAGTGTCCACTGCGCACATCTCGGTCAGAAATGACGCGATCTCCTCCGCCTGCTCTGCGTCGTTCACGTTGGCGTTCGTCCGCATCTCGAACATCGCCAGCTCGTAGATCATGATAAACGTGCGGCCTTTGTCGTAGCCGTTGATCCGCTCCAGGAAGTCGACGTCCATCGATCCATCTGGAGCCTGGCTCGGTCTCGATACCGATGCCGATGCTGAACTTGATGGCGCTGCCTGGGGCATCGCTGTGTCGACCAGGTCCTCCACGTTCATCTGCGCCTCCTCCTGGGGCGCCGCTCGCTTGAGCGCGAGCCGAGCTTCAGCACTTGCAGGTGCTGAGCTTCCTCTCGCATCGCCTCGTGCCCGGGTAGCTCGTCCAGGGTCGGGTGCGTCTCCTCGGCGCTTCCTGGCAGCGCTCGGTTCGCTTCCACTGCCTCCGGCCGGCACCGCCGCCATCTCGGTGTCCCCCGGCTCTGGGGCAGGAGCTCGATCGCCGTGTCCAGAGGGCGGCCGTAGGGCAGCTAGGTCTCCTCCAGCTGCTTCTTGACCTCGAACACCTCGACCGCGTGCTGCTTGGTCTCCGGCTCGAAGGTGGTGTTCGGCAACTCGTACTCGATCTTCATCGTTGCCCATCATTAGCCCTGCGATCCTGTCGCGGCACTCGTCGCTATGGCATTTCGTGATCTTGCCCTTCTGCGTCAGCTCCAGACATCCTGGGCAGCCCGCAGTGGCACCATGCTTCTCGATGTCGCGGCGTAGGACGCACCTCGCTCGCGGGGCTCGTGGCTCCATCCGAACGGTAGCCACGTCCTCGCCAGAGCGGGCGCCTCCTCCTCCGGGCGAGTCGCCCAGGGAACTCCTCGAAGAGCTGCGCAGTCCTTGCTGTCCCAGGCTTGATCCTTCGGCAGTTTCTTGAAACCTTGGGCCTTCTCCACGCCGTCAACCGTCATGGCGAGCAGGGCCCCCGTCCGCATGTGGTAGCCCAGGAAGTTCCCGGACTCCATGCGCTCCTCCATGGTACTCCTGCGACCTCCTGGCGCGAGCGGCCTGTACATCACCCGCTCGCCAAACTCTGCTTCCAGCTTCTTCCAGTCGCGGCCTGAGCGCCGCTGTTCTTAAGTGAGGCCGTCGGTTCCGCGTCGGCACCGGCCAATGCAGGCCGCGGCGCACTGGGGTAACCACTTCAAGATCGGGTGGTCATCGTCCACCTTCCTGCCCAGCTTGGCCTCCAGTGCGTGCCTGTTCGCCCTGGCCTGCCTCTTGACCTCTCGCACGGTAACCTCGATGCCTCCGTTGCTCTGGTGCTCTCCTTCTGGCGATTCTCGAGGCGAGAATTCCACCGTCGGCGTCGCCACCGCGACCACCGTCTTGAGCGCCACGATCGCGGGCTCCCCGTCGCCCTGGAAGATCAGCCTGCGGTAGCCGAGGTGCAGAGTGAAACTCATCAGAATCTTGATCATGAAGTTGGAGACCTTCTTGCCCGGAACCGCTGTCGAGTAGGGCAATTTCGTCGGATAATCTCTGGCCACCAGCATCGGGAAGTTGTCCTCCTGGCCCTCGTCCCCCTCGCCGGTCTCCTCGCCCATGAACGCGAAATCGATGGCCACAACCGGATCTGCACCTTCCCGAACTTCAGCTTGTAGCTCATGATGAGTATCGTTTAGCCGATCCCCATCCCCAGCGGCGTGGCCTGGGCCCCGCTGCCCGATTTACCCCCCTAGATGGGGATATAGGTCGCTCTCTTCGGGTTTCTAGGGGTGTATCCCCAACTGGGGTGGTAATTTGGTGGGGGTCTCGAAGGCGATGGAGATGGGGATGGGGATCGGATAAACGATGCCGATCATGAGGTTGGCCAAGCCCTCGAGCTGCACGACAAACTCCGCACCAATCTCGAAATAATCTCGAAATGCAGCGTGACCTGTAGCCTCGTGTTGGTCAACTTCAGCTCGAGCAGGTAGTTTCTTTCGTCCTTGCACTCTCGCTGGCGCAACCTCCTGAGGATTGCCGTCGTAGTCCTCGTCGTCTCCGATCCCTTCTCGTACTTCAGCTGGCTTGGGAGCGGGATCTCCACTCCCTAGCGCTGCCGCTGGTGGTCTTACGGGCGGCCCCGCTGCCGGCGATTCCGGCGATTCCGAGGCGCTCGCGCCTCCCACGGGACCGTTGCCTGCCAATGAGGGTCCGCGCTCGCCGGCGCCCACGGACAGAGCTCGGCAACAAGAGCCGACCCCGACGAAGTGGCACCGCCAGGTTGGTCCATCAGCACGTCCATCTTGTAGACTCCGTTCTGCAGGTGCAGCGGCACGATGCCCTCGTTGCCCTCGGCCACGCACTGGTCGATCATCCGGTGGATCCTCTGCGCGAGCTCGCTCTCCTTCAGGATGTAGCCGCCGAAGGCGCCGACCCGCGTGAAGTGGCCCTTGGCGGCGGTGGCCGAGGCGGACAAGAGCGGCTTGCCGATGTTCGCGCGCCTGCCCATCAGGAACATACTTTCGCCGTACTCCGACACTCCTTTGATCCAAAGCCGCCCTCGTCCTCTACAATCTCGCCGGTGGCTGTGCGGTATAAGCTGCCGTCGGCCTCGTTGTACTCGCCCTCCTGCTGGAGCGGGAAGGCCGTGGTGGCGGTGCCGGTGTCGAACGTCATCGCAATGCACTTCCTTTACTGTTTCTCACCCTTGACCTCCACGCTGTTCAGCTCCAGCACGCGCTCGAAGGCGCCCCAGCTGAGCGCGGCGGGTGACTGGTTGCATGCACCGGCCTGCGAGGCCGATGTCGGTAGTTGCGTGCTGATCGTGCTGTGCGCGTCGCCCACGAAGTTGTTGAGATAGTCTCGGCGAGCGCCTTGCTGTTGGAAATGCTGACACTTCGGACCCTTGCCGTATCCTTTGCCCTTGCCTCTGTCATCCTTACTTCCTCTCTCGGTGGGCTTCCAGCAGTCTTGTGCACGATGGCCCTTCTTTCGGCAGTTCCAGCAGATCACGTTCGAGTTGTCCGTCTTCCCTTTTCCGCTGCAATTCTTGCCCTTGCCATCTTTGTCCTTGCCCTTGCCGTGCTTGCCCTTGCCGTCGCCTCTCCTGACGAACGCGTCGACCTCCGTCGGGTCGCCTCTCGACCGACCAAGGGCTCTTTGAGCTTGTCTGGTCTCCAGGAAGCTCCTGACCTCCTCTCGCATCGCAGCGTAGTCCTGGAGTCTGGCGCGGTTGAGGGCAAGGTGCATCTCGACGTCCTGCGGCGCGAGGCTCTCGAGCGCACTCATCTGGATTTTTGTCGTCTAGGTGTGCGTCTCGACCGTCGGCTCTGCGCCTCTCGTAGCGCCTGACCAGCTCTTCCCACGTCGCAACCTCTGCGGCCAAGTTCTCGAGCTTTGCGACCCTGGTCGGCGCCGTGATTTTCTTGAGTAGCACGCGGCGGCGACCGCCGCTGGTAGGATCCCAGCGCCGCACCAGCAATCGTAGAGCCTCAGCTCCATTGCCGCGGCCTGCTCTGACCACCAGGTCGAAGGACTTGCCCTCCGTGAGCGAGGCGAACGCCGCGTAGAATTGCGAGAGCTTCTCGTCCACGTTGTCGACTGCCTCGCCGTCCTCGGCCTCGTTCGCAAACTGCTCCATCGCAGCGGCCGTGGTGGGCGTGACCGTGTCGTTCGCCTGGTCGACTGCCCACTCGATCACCGGCCGGAAGCTCACGCCGAAGACGCTGAACACGTAGCTATTGAGCTTCTGGAGCCACTCACTGAACTTCGACTCTTCATTCTTGAAGGCCTGTGGCTTCCCGATATCCTTCGCTTGAATCAGCTAGGCCGCTGGTGGCGGCGGCCGTTCTGCGACTCTCTCGAGCACCTCGCCGAGCCGTCTGATGATCTCAGGCTCTCCGGCCTAGTCTGCTTGTCGCTGGAGCGCGGCGCTCTGTTGCCGTAGATCGTGTATGTCCTGTCTGCGTCGCGCATCTCCTTGAATGTCTCTTGGTTGAGCGCCATCTCGAAGACCGAACCGCTCGGCATTCCTGTGGTTCTTCGCGTAATTCAAGCACTGTCCGAACTCGTGCCACTGTCCCTTCAGTCGGCTGAACCGAGTCAACTTCAGCACAGTCCGTTGCCAATCGTCCTCAACGCCCACTTGAGTCCAACGCTCGTGGGTGTCCGTCGCGGAGCTCGTAGTCTCGAACTCCGTCGTCTCGATCTGTCGTGCCGCCAATAGCGGATCTCGCGCGCGCTGGCGCGCGGGTGTGGGAGTGGCGGGACTGGGAGCTGGAGCTAGTCCAGCTCCGCTACCATCTTTGATTCTATCTTTTGAACCACGATGGACTACAGACCGAGCTCTGAATCACCTCTGGTCTTTCTCTCTTCTTAAACTCAGCCTCTAGAGCAAATCCGAAGCTCGCTTAAGTTCCAGGAAACCTCCGAAACAGGGCGCTGGCCCTAGGTATCCGAACAAAGGGGCTACGTATCTCTCTCTCTCTCTATATATATATATATATATCATTTTTTTCATATTGCCGGTTGATGTATACATGAACAATCTGTGTTTCAGATTCAATTTCGGTTTCGGCGTTTACCTCCTAATTTTCGCATTCACGCTCTGCGGTTTTGGCATCTGGGTTCAAGTATAATACCCGCTCGTTGCTATTCGCAGTTCGATTCACACGATACGAAAGCATGGCATATATATATATATATATATATATATATATATATATATATATATATATAAACAAATCGTAATCGTCAGCTGCATCAATACCGACACCGGCATTGGACATCAATGCGGGATCTTGGTATCCAGCGAAGGCAATTTCTACATCCACCGACGTCGTTCCGGGTGTCCGATTCAGTCAATGAAAACTGTCGGTTGTATCGCTTGTGGTCCTCGGTCCCAATAGAAAAGCTTATCAATTCTGTCGTGTGGTTGCCAATTCTGTTTCCCAGCTGTTGATGTAAACGCTGCTTGGTTAAATTTGTCTCACTGCGCGGTCTATGCAAAATTTAATTCGATTTATAACTCGCATCGTCGGACAGTAGCAGTCACTGGTTGCCAACGGGGATGGGCACAAACATTGGCCCCAGCTGGGGAGGAGAAGGAGAAGGATACCTCTTGCACCGTCTAGAACTATGTAAGGTACCGATTGTTCTAACCCATGGTTGAAAAAAAGAGCTGCGTTAGCCCTGCAACTGACGAGCCAGTCTCGGCCAGAAGGCCCAGCCTGTCTTACAGATTACGGACGCATCCGGTGGGGGGACAGGGAAGAATTTTCTACGAGGAGAAAAAATGAAGGAGGAGGAAACAAAGGATAAAAAGGGGAGACGAAAATACACAAAATATGTATCAACGATGCTGCAATGCCCGCCCCAACCGCGTCCCGGGAGGCAGTGGTAACGGAGGTGGCTGCATGCCTACCACCTGCGCAACATCCTCAACATCTGCAGGTGCATACAGACCGGGGGTAGAATCTAAAACATCTAACCGCAGCTCCAGTCTGGTGCCTGGTGCCTCCTTGTCGTCGGGCTTGCGTATGTTCACCGTGAGCCGCGCTGGAGCTGCCTCGACGACCTCCGTCACCGACAAGAGGAAGGCACTGAACATGTGAACGAAAACAGCCCTGAAGCTCAGAAGACCATGAACTTGAGCCTG